GGAAGCTGAAAATTGGCTATGCCTTGACCCTATTGTTGTTGCGCGGTCTCTCTCTCTTTGCGTTCGTGTGTGTATGGGTTTTAATTGCGTGGTTTTTCCGTTTTTGTTTTCTGTGCCTCGTGAGCAATACACACACATGGATGAGACACGCGTGTGCAAGCTGATCCAATCATGATCGCCTCACCAGATTCATGTGCTGCACGAATGTCTCAAGGATGATTCCACCGTACTTTTCAGCGAAGGGAGACCGTCGGGCTAACAGTCATTTTCTATTTGGTCCGTGTCTTGGTGCCGACCTTTATTGGACAGGTCGACAAGGGCACTCCAGCCATTCATTCAGATGAATGATGTCGTTCTATGCCCCGAGCTGTAGCTCACAATAAATATCTCTGGTTGTCACAAAAATCATGTCCCTCTTCGCAAGCATGGGGTCCGGAGTCCGGACGATTCCCCGTAAAATCTGACGCAGACCTCAACAGACCAACATCAGATTCTTCAGATCTCTTGACCTCATGATGATCCCTTGCTTTGGACGTGGCTTGCATTCGTAAGTATTGCTCCTGAAGGCCTTCCCAGCCCTTCCGCGCGTAACATCATGGGGCCTCGCCACAATCTGTTGGCGTGCCTTCTTCTGGTTGGGCTCTTCGGCTGCCCACCCACGTCCGCATGGGGGCTCAACCACACACGCGAGCACCTCCTGAGAAGGCTGCTTGGTAATGAAAAATGGCCCCCTTTCTCATGCCTGCCGTCTCCTGACATTGGTGCAGGTCCTCCTGAGGTATCTGGGGCGTGCAGGTGCTCTTCATGCGCCGACAAATATGGCCATCATGTGGACATACCGATGAAAGAGAGCCTCAGCGATGAGGATCGGCGTCTCAGCTGCGCCGCTCTGTGCGCGAGTGATCCAACATGCACCGGTTTTGAGGTGTGGCTAGCGCCTCGAGAGTCCAACTGTGAGGTGCATTGGACACCCATCGACTGGATTGACACATCGGCAGACAACATCGAATGCTTCCCCAGACGAGGTGCGCAGATGTACTGATGTGCTGTCTGTGTCACCATGCCTCTTGATGTGGTGCCTGTGCGGTGTTTGCGTCTCGCTCTCTTAGGCTATGCGCCGGTGGATCTTGTAATTCTGCTTGATCGGTCTCTGTCGGTGAAAAGTAATGGGTGGAGCCTGGAGACGGAATTCACGCGAAAGCTGCTGGACGCGCTGCCCATTGCCCCGGGAGAGATCAACGTGGCCATTATCCACTTTGGAGCCGACACCTACTATGCCATGCCAGATGAGGTTCATAGCCACAAAGCCACATCCCCACGCTACAGAATGTCGGTTATCCCATATGTTGCCTATGCAGGCAATGTCGTCCTCTGGCGACTTCATCCAGACAAAGGAGGAGGCCCTGACGGCCATTGACAACCTTGCCGTCCTCGAGCTCGAGTACGGCACGGACCTCATCGGTGCTCTGCATGCCATGATCACCGTGCTCAAGACCAAGAGCCGCAAGGCCAAGCAGCAGGGAGAGCTGGTGTCGGTGGTGCCGTGGTTCGCCGTGATTATCACTGATGGCGAGAACACGCACCGCTGCAAGGAGGTCTCTGGGGAGACCTTCTGCATGCCGTCTGGGGAGTTCGTGAAGTGGAAGCATCACCCCAACTACCGCGGCAAGAACCCCTCATGGGTGGAGCAGAAGATGGACCATGTCCTGGTATGTGGAAGGGGAAGGAATAGCCGCACAAATATGTTCTGGTCCCTGAGGGTTTGTCTGTGTGTTAGGCTGAGGTGCCTGAAGTGCGTCGTTTCTGCATCGGAGTGCGGCTCAAGACACAGAGAGGCCGGGTGAGCGATACACCGATGGATGCACACGTGTGGACGGGATGTCTGCGTGTCAGGATGATTTGTGGGCGATGGCGAGCATCCTGAAGGAGGACCATGTGTTTGAGATCCTGAGCTTCGAGCTGCTTGACTACCTCATCGAACAACTGCTCATCCTCATTGGCTCATTCGAAAGTCAGTCAGTCAGCCAGCGACTGTCAGCCAGCCATTGATTAAGAGGAGGCATTTCTGCATGTGCGCGTGTGTGTGGTACGTGTCAGTCTGCGGGATAGAGAAGGAGTGGACTGAATGGATTTGCAACGTCGAGTGCGGCCAAGGCAGATACGTCCGGACTCGGATCGAGCGGGTGATGTCCTCACAAAGAGACCAACAAACGAACCAACGAACGACGGAAGGAGCACCATCGTTGATGGTTGTCCATGTCAATCAGGTGAGCCTGGGGCGTGATTGTGTCGGTGTGGGTGAGGGGACGTGGACGCGCGTGGTCAAGGAGTTCGACGAGACAGGCGGCATCTGCATCAACCCAAAAATGCCCGTCTGCCCTGACGGTCACGACGTTATCTGCCGCATTTTGTTGCTGGGCCTCGTGACCTACCCCGAGCTGGTCAAGTTCCTCATCAAACACATCGAGTGGTTTGAAGATATCATCACCAGCTGCGTCCACATCAGTAATAATAACAAGTAACCGATACCAAAGGGAGCGATAGGTCCTCTCTGTCTGCAGGCACGTATTGCCCGATGCTGAACGTGACGTACATCAACCCGCCGCCGTCATTCCTCGAGCACGTGTACCCGGCCTCGTATTTCGAGCTGATAAGCGAGGAGCTGATACTGCCGACGGTGGACCACACAGTGGAGTTCCAGGACATCCACAGGGCCCTCACGCACAGCGCGGCCATACCCAATGGAGTGGGCGACATCCACCTCAAGATGGCACACATGTTCACTGACGCGCCGCTCGTACAGGTGGATCGATAGATGCATATACACATACACATCCAGATACACAGACACACACACACACACACACACATATATATATATATATATATAAAATACATACACACATGCATACGTACATGTACGCGGTTGTTGTGTCTCGTGTCATATACGGACCCCGTCCGTGTGCAGGTGTTTCGAGTGACGACCCAGCGACAGTTCTCGCCCCTGCTGCCCAAAGAGGTGATCGACATGCTCGCGCACTGCGAAGGAGGTATGCATGCCACACACACACACACTGAAGACACCACCGTTGGATTCCACTGCGTCTTTGCCCGGGCAGTGAGTGAGTGCGGCAACAAGGCGGGCATCGAGGGAGTGCTGTCGTCAAAGCTGCCGTCGGCCACATTCACACTTACGGATGAGTCGTCTAGCGATCGATTCGCCGCCAAGCTGCAGTGCGTGACGCGGGAAGACGCAGAAGACAACCCGTACGACAACCCCCTGCCACCCACACCAGCACCGCCACAAGAGAAACTCAGAGGTGACTCACCCACTGATTGACTCCCACACCCACGCACTCAAGCACACACCTGACTGTTTGTCTTTTGTCCCAGTGTGTCAGGATCTGAGTGAGTGGTCCGATTGGGAGTGTAACGCCGAGTGTGGCAAGGCCAGCCACGTGCGGACCAGACGGGAGAGGGTCGTCTTTGACACCTCGTGTGACGACGCCGAGGCGTCTCCATGGGACCGCCGAGCAAAGGAGTTCCGCGTGCCGTCGTCACCCGGTGATGATGGCCTCTGCCGCAGCGACCTTACTCGATGCGCTTTCGGTCAGTGAATGGATGAATCCAATCGTCATGGATGTCTTGTCGTGTCGATGTCTGCAGGTGAGCGCACCAAGTGTGGTGGGTGGTATGCGGCAGCCCCTCACCGGCACTTCGAGTCGTTCCTCTCCGACCTCACAGGCACCTCATGCACCAAAATCAGTGAGACAACGAAAAAGAAAGAGACAGAATTCGCCACGAATCCTTCGTTCGTCAGGCCAGTACTGCCACCACATGAGCGTGACTTTCGATCCCGGCCACAAGGGGTGCAATCCGTGGTTGGACCTCCTCGAGACCTTCTCGCCCGCACCTTTCCTCCTCACGTCAGAGCAGCTCTTCCTGAACGAGACTGCGCACACACTGCGGTATGTAATGGTTGAGACCGCCCAGTCGTCCTCCCAGTGCCTGAAGGACAGCATTGTGCTGGAGATGGGCAACCTCTACACATACAGGCCAACCATACGCGTAAGTGAGCCAAGCCATGCCAAGCCAAGCCAAGCCAAGGATAAGAAAAGTGGCTCCACGTGCTCGTCTTCTCTGTGCAGGTCTACCAGTCCTTACCTGGTGGTGGCCGTCTGCTGATCGCCTCATGCACAGGAGACACACGAACAGGAGCCAACACCAACACAGGTCAGCACAGAGAGAGAAAGAGAGAGGCAAAGAGGGAGCCGGAAACATGCCACACCCACAAATGCGGTGACTAGGGCTGCATTGTCTGCATTAGCTTGCAGGTGGGTCCCCAATCGCGTGCGACAGCGTCGGCACTCTCGAGGCGCTCGTCAAAGACCAGCGGCACCAGGCAACCCTCACGCTGCAGGACGATGCATCGACAACCGTCGAGGTGCAGATGCAATGCATGAGCGACGCGGACCCCGACACGGGACAGCTGCCAGACGACCCAAGTGAGCCCTGATATCCCGTGGGTGACCCGCACACCTTTATATGCCCAATTGTTATCCTCAATGCCCGGATGTGTGCAGTGGCCGTCGCGGAGAACTTCAGTGAGTGGACTGAGGCCATTTGCACGGCGGCGTGCGGCGTCGGAAAACTCCTCAAGTCAAGGAGACAACTGGTCAGTATGTCGGAAAATCTATCCATGTGTGCGTGGGTGTGTGTGATTGCCGCATGTGTCCTTCGTTATCAGGTGAGCCGTCGAGGGTGTTTCATCCGCGGCTTGTACAGGAAGCTGTTCCGTCGGTGGATGCGCAAGGCCAAGGAATTCGACCTGCCAGTCACGCCTGAATTCTGCAGCCCATACACATGTATGTACGTGCGCACACAGACAGGCATACTCGGCAGAACATGCGTGTGTATCCATTCAGGTCCCGAAGTGGAGTGCAGCATCCCTTATCCGCTCTTCCCCATCACAAACAGACCTGAACCCAACGATAAACGCAACTGCCTCTCAGAAGGTACGCGGCTGCATCGGGGGGAGCAGGTGACGACGCTTCTCCATTTCCTTCCATGGCATATATGTAATATGCAGCTGATTTCATCACCGGCCTGATCGCCACGTACGACATCGACTATGCCTCCGGCCCCCTGGCCACCCTCCCCGCCCTCTCGCCACAAGAGTTCGGCCTGCACCGGATTGACAACACAGACAACGGCAAGTGTATGCTGCTCAGTTACCGCAGCGGCCAGGGGTTGGCTGGCAGCAGCGGCAGCAACATCGAGCTGGACTTCAACGAGATGGACACGGACAATCCCACAAGAGTGCAGCTGTACGACCGGGGTGAGGGGAACGGCACCACGACCGCGACGATGCTCGGAAGCTGCGACGGCGACTCCAGGCTCATTGCTGAAGGTGAGCGTTGAGTGTTGCAGGACATATCAGCATGCTGTGATTGCGTGCCACGTAGGTCCCAGCTGCACCTCCTTCCTGGGACCCGGCAGCCTGGCGATCATCTTCTACCGGGCCTACGAGCCGGACACTTTCTCGTTCGTAACGTTCGTGTCCATCTGTCAGGGCACACAGGTCGTCTTCACCAACAACGGGTGGAAGCGGGATGACGGCGGCTTCAGAGAGAGCGAGGACCGCTTCACCTGGACGGCGCCCACGGAGGTGACGCCCGGCGAGGTGATCACTTTCATGAGCCTCATCGCCGCAAGCTACCTGCGGCTCGGTGACAATGGCGACCAGATCTTTGCGTACCAAGAGCGCAGTGATGGGGAAATTGTGTTCATTTATGGGGTGAACAACAAAGGGGAGAAGGTGTGGCAGGATGACGCCACAAACGACAAGACGTCCAGCCTGCCGTCGATACTGGCCAAGGGGCCTTTCCACATGCCGCTGAAACAGAACCCCTGCATACGGTAGCGATGCAGACGGACAGGACAACACACACACAGACAGGTCAATATTGATGTCTCTCTCTCTCTTTTTCTGTGCGTGTGTGAATGTCGTCTTTGCAGGTATCTGGGTCCGACCGAGGGGTCGACGGCCTTTCTGCTGTCGAGCATCGCTGACCATGGGCACTGGGGCTGGACGGACAACACCGACGACACATTCATTCCCGCATGCCCATTCGCAATCACCGACGCAGGGCAACCAGGTCCGTCATCATATGACACGGACAAGAGACATATTTTTTGTGCCTGTGCAGAGAGTGGCTTTTACAGCGGGTCGAGTGCGTGCGAGAACATGGAACAGGTGACGATGGTGCTGATGAACGAGGCCCCCGAGGCGTCGCTGACACTCTTCTCAGAACAGGGTGACCAGGTGCGCATGGTCCTCACGCCCGCCGCACCCGCACTCGAAGAGCCACAGCCACCAGACAACACCACCGAGCCGGGCCCCAAGCCGACAGCCCGGCCCCCTCCGCCCCCCAACGGCACCACCGATGCCGCGTCGTATGTGTTTGAGGGTGGGGAGGTGCTCAATTGCGACGGCAGCGGTATGGAGCTGTGCATCCCGCTGGCCAACGAGGGGCAGCACATCAACAGCTGGACCTGGAACAACATGGACGACACACAGACCTGCAGGTCGACCATCCGATGGCGCCAGCCGCCCGGCGTCGAGGCCTCGTCTTTGTACAGCTGTCTCTGGGCACCCCTTGCGCAGAACCCATGCAATGGTGTCCAAGAGACCACCGTGTGGACGTCACCGGACCACCCCGACGTCCCGTACATACTCATACGCAACACAGCCGGGTCAGCCAGACACACAAACCAAGAGAGAGGAGAGACCGAGGTGGAGAGTGGCATTTGTGCAGGATAGCGAAGGGTGAGGTGATCATATCTCCTGGGGACACTAGTGTGCGCTACACAGTGGAGTGTCTGTACCAGGGTGGATATGGCACCTCAGTCGTGGTGGCCACGGACCAGAGGCAGGCCGTCGTCATACACGGTGAGCCCTGTCTGTCAACCACCCTTCATCACACCGTGGCCACATGCAAGTGATGTCTCCCGTGTCTCGTCCCTCTCTCTTTCACAGACTTGCCGCTCGGCGCCGTGGCGTCCTTCACATTCGACCAAGGCCTGGCACGCAACCTCGTCTCAGCATCACGACCTCCCTTCGCCCTCTCAGCAACCGACATGGCCTACAACGGCCCCACAGTGATCAGAGACGGCCTGACAATCCTCTCGGAGTGCACCACAGCGTCATTCCAGCTCTTTACCAAGGCGGATGGCACCAGCAGCAGCGACATCGAGGCCTTCACTGTGGTAATGTCAGTCCGTGTGGACACGTGGCCGGAGGGGTGGGACAGCGCAGTGCCGCTGCTAAGTGTGACGAGGGGAGAAGGGGGCGACTCTGTGGCGCTGCTGGATGCGATCGCCGCGAATGCGACCACGGGGGACGACCCGAGATGCCCCAATGTGGGCGAGGTCAGGGCGAGCACTGTGTGTGCGGCGGGGCTGGACGTCACCGTCCTGACGCCGCTCACCCTCATTTTCACCACGGTAAGACGAGGGCGGACCAGGGAACCGCCATGTCTGCATTCATTGCCCTTCGGTTCATCAGACAGAGGGCCTGCGTGTGTACGTGGGGTCATCGAGGGTGTACAGTGACCCGGCTCTCCGAGTGGCGATTGATAAAACCTCCACATTCACCCTCGGCAGCCCCATGGGCAAGGTCCCCGATGAGACCGGGACCCTTTTGCAGTCGTGTGATGTTACTGTCGAGAGCCTCTACAGGGGACCGCAGCTCATCACGCCCGATGGGGTGTTCCCCGCACACGGGGCCACTGATGTGCCTCTGGACCAGCGCACCTTGGTGGCCTTCTTGGACCGGCAATTCACCGTCAATCGCCCCTTGCAGGTGAGACGATGACGGCAGATTTGGTCTGGTGGGTGTGAGCGCCTGTCTGTCTCTCTAGGTGATGGTCTTTACCATTCCCGCATCCACAATCGACGTGCCGAGCCCACCCCCCGTGTTTGTTGCCCGCTTCACCAAAAGAGGCGAAGGGAAAGGAGACATGAAGACGATGGTGTCGGTCAGGGAGTCGGTCATGACGGTCAGGCTGCCCCTGCACATGGTCCCGTCCACCCGGTACCAAGTCGTCATCCCGGCGGGCAGCGTCGCAGACACACACGGGCAGCTGCTCAAGACGCGCATCGAATGGCGATTCACGACGACCGACGGTAGCCTCCCTGACAACAGGTGACTGGCTGGATGGAACGCATGCGTGGAGGTGTGCTGATGTTGTGCTATGTCTCTTTGTGCAGCCCCCCCGTGCGTCTGTCATCCTCCTTCCCATCAAACGGAGTGACCGATGTGGACCCTAGAGGCCCGATCGTCATTCCCTTTGACGGGCCCGTCACACGTGGGTATGGCGCGATCACCATCCGGCCCACGGACCACTCCAACGACACCCACCAATCATCGCTGCGCGACCTTGCCCTCACAATTGCCATCGAGGACAAGTCGCTTGTGCACGTCCAAGAAGACGTGATGGTGGTCCACCTGCCGTCCCCCCTCTTCCCCTACACCACCTATGAGACACTGCTTCCCGCCTATTCCCTGTTCGACCATGCCGGCAACCCTCTGCAGCCCCCGGGCATCTACATCCGCTTCAGCACGTGGGACAACGAAACACTCGACGAGACGGCAGCAGAGGCAGGAGGCGTGCTCTCCCCCAATGAGTGGGACACACAGCCGCCGTCGCTCTTGCACTTTACAAGCGTGTCCCCAACCGTCACCGACGTATACCTGGAGATGGTTTTCGATGAGGATGTCCGTGTTGTGCCGGGGTGGGTCTACATCGCCTCTGTGGAGGGGCTGGAAGAGAGACCGATGCCTGTGTGGCTGAGCAATGACGCTGTCGTGGGATCGCATCTAGTCGTCAGGGCGGCTGGTGTGGCTGCCGGCCTGGGGTATAGTGTCATTGTGCCCCGCAGCCGCATTCGAGACCACGCAGGCAACTTCTTTGCTGGACTGAGGTGAGGTGAGGTGGAAAGAGCGGACGCCGTGTCTCTGTCCTATGCATCAATTATGTCCGCGACACGCAGATACGGCGACAGGACCTTCACCGTCCCTCAGACGACCACCAGCCCTTCGCCGTTACGTCTCGTCCGTGACCTGTCCTACCCTCCCCCCGACTCCACCCGGCTGCCCCCCACCTCACCCGTCATCCTCACCTTCTCCCACGCCGTCTGCCGCCCCTCCTTTCCCTCATACATCCTCGTCAAGCCCGTCCAGGCGCCCGGCCGTTCAGCCATAGCGTCTCTTGTCGACACATCAGACAGCGAGCAGGTGCGCATCGAGGGGCCGTCCGTGTTTCTGAGCCTCAGGCCATGGCTCACGGGCGGCACTATATATGAGATGGTGCTGCTGGAGGGCACCTTAACCGACTGCAGGGGTGGCAGGTCTCCTCCAGTCGGGGAGAGTGTGGGAGGCGAGGCTTTTTCCTTCTCTGTCGGCGCGCCTACTGACGGCACACCACCCACATTGGTGCAGCTGTCGCCTGTTGCGGGTTCAGCTGACGTGGAGACATCGCTGCGATCGCTTGTGCTGGCTTTTGACGAGCCAGTCGTCATCGCGCCGCGAGCCACCCAGTCCATTGGGATATCCCGCGGCGGCCAATCAGATAGGGAGATAGGCCGTGAGCACGTTAAGGCGTTCGGGAGTGTTGTGGTGATTGAGCTGGAGAGTGCCTTGCGGCCCGGTGGCGATTATGGCGTGTCGATTCCCGTCGGGCTGATAATGGACTATGCCGGCAACGTCTTCAGCTTCTACAGCAAGTGGGAATTCAGCACATCCGCTCTGCCGACGGCATCTGCCAGCCCTTTGGCTCTGCTGAGTGCCTTCCCGCAGAGCCTCGCAGTCGGTGAGCCGCTGACTCTTCTCTTCAACGAGACGATCAGCATACACGTCACCGGCCAGGCAATCGAAGTGCGGCCGACCAACGACGAGCACGCGCCATTCCACATTCGAGACGACGGCTATTTCTACCAAGGAGAGCTGGGGAGTGCGCAGTGGACCGAAGGAAAAGGGAGCCTCATTGCCACTGACGGCGGGCTGGCGGTGCTTTCCTTCCCCTACCCCCTGGGCCCATCTCTCTCATACAATGTCACCCTTCCCGCCGGTCTATTCACTGGTCTAAACGGGTCTTTGTCAAGCGAGACGACCATCAGCATCGACCTCTCTGCAGCAGCCGATGCCGCCGATCAAGAGCCGCCTCGAGCACTGTATTTCTTTCCTCCGCCCGAGGGCATCCCTCTGGTGTCATCGGACATCATCGTGAGCTTCACAGAAGACATTGCCCCATCCCTCAATGTGGAAGAACAGCAGCAGGTCACCCTGAAGCCAGATGGAGGGGCCGAGGAAGCCGTCCCCTTCACGATCAAGGGCAGCGTGCTCATTGCGACGCCTGCATCGGTTCTGCAGCCGTCCACTGCATACACCCTGACCATCCCACAGACAGCCATCACCGACCTCTCGCGCAATCCCATGACCGGCGATGTCGTCTACGCCTTCACGACCGGCCAGCCGCCATCCAGTGGTGAAGAAGAGGACACTCGTGGCCCGGCTGTGTTGCCTGGAGGCGTTTTGCCCCCACAGGACGCCACGGATGTCCCTCCCTCTGTGTCGTTCGTGGTGGTGTTTGACGGGCCTGTGATAGTTGTTGGGGGCGTGCTGGCGTTCGCCGCTGCTGAGAGGCCTGGCGTGGATCCCATCTTTGTGGATCTGCATGACGCCGAGAGAGTGTGGCTTGGCGGCAGTGCTGGCAACCACATCATGATTGTCGCTCTCGAGAGGCACCTGCTGCCAGACACACAGGTAGGAGGCGGGGAAACATGGATGGATGGATACACAATCTCTGATTGTGCGTGTCTGTGTGTGCAGTATACCGTGACAGGGCCACTGGGTCTTCTGGAGGATGCGTCAGGCAACGCTCTCACTTACGATGTCTCAACACAGGCAGGGCGATTCACAACCGGCGCCCCGTCAGCCGTCCCCCCAACGACGCTCACCACCCCGACCGCCCCCCTGGTCCTCAGCCACGCGGCCCCCATCCCTCCCGTGCAGCTCGACACACCCACGGGGGATATTATCCTCTCCTTCCCTCACCCATTCACACGTGGCAGCGGGGTGATTGAGGTGGTTCCTGAATCGATCGACGGTCTGTGGCCCCCATCGCTGTCGTTCGATGCTGCCAAGCAGACGGCGACCGACATGGACGTCACGAGTGAGGGCCATGTGGGGCTGCTGGGCGGCGGGCGTGTTGTCAAGGTGCGGCTTGGGTCGGTGGGTGTGCGGCTCACTCAAGGGGGTGAGTACAGGATACGGTCGTCAGAGGGGGCCCTCTTGGTGAGTGAGTATGAAGACTGGAGAACGGACGACCTGAGACACAAATGTCTTCCCTGCCTTGGTTGCTTTCAGGCGCTTCAGGGCCGCAGCTCCCTGTCTGTCGATGCCTCCATATCAGTGGCCGATGCACCATTAACAGGAGACACCGACGACGAAGAGGCATATGCCACCATTCAGCCGCAGAGCGTCACGCCCCCACGTCAATCAACCTCGCCGTCCTCCACCCCCGCATCTATCGTGCTGCACTTCCCCGCCCCTGTCATCGCCGCCGCCGCCGCGTGCCGCATCTTCGTGTGGCCCCACACACAGCAGGTGGCACCCGAGGGGAGAGCCGCTGTGGACAGCCAGGCTGTCATCGATCTGACAGACTCAGCAAAGGTGCAAAGCACGGTCAGAAAGGCTGAAATATGCCCCGTGACGTGACATGTGGTGTCTGTTGTGCTCAGGGGATGGTGCGTGGAGGTGTGGTGGCGGCTAACGTGCCCTTTCTGCGGCCGTCGACCACATTCAGGGTGCAGCTGCACCCGCCAGACCGATGTCTGCAAGACGTGGTCAGCCACTCATTCGTCGAGTGGAGCGCGCAGGACGACTGGACATTCACCACTGGCCCCGCTGCTGCAGTCCAACCTCCCAAACTTCTCAAAAGTGAGTCTTCGCCCCCCAGACAGATCTCACCTTGATGTGTGGCTGTGGTGCATGCAGCCTTCACCGTGCCAGCTGCCGTCCTGTCCAGCAACGCGGTGCCCGCAGAGCTTTCTGACGCATCAGCCCCCGCCCATCCCGCCATCCTCGTTGCCGTTTTCGACACTCCCATCAGAGTGGCCGAGCGGGCCTTCGGCACCATCCGGCTGCCCGACGGGTCTGCACGGGCATTCCACAGCCCGCAATGCGACTCGTTCTGCCAAGTACTCACTGTCCTCTCCCCTGCGGTGCTGTCCCCCATTGTTACGTATTTGGTGACACTGGAAGGGCGGTCCCTGCTCACAGACGATGGGAGGCCAGTACAGCAGGGCTATGAGTGGAGTGTGCAGGGCCCTGAGACGGAAAATGGGGAGGGTGGCGGTGCAGCGACGGCTGAGGTGTTTCCAGTGGCCGGCAGCTCGGATGTGTCCCTCACACCCGTTCTAAGTAGGTGGGCTACTCTCGTGAGGGGGGAAATCAGCGAACAACTTCATCCATAATTGTCGTGCTGGTGCGGCAGGAGCGTACATGGGCACATCGACGAGTTGGTACCTGACGAGCTCCCCAGACGTGTCGGTGAGTGTGTCGTCTTCTTCAGCGGCCTTTGCCCCCTATACCATCCCCCTAAACTCTCACCACGTACGCAGCACGCAGAACGCATCCACTGTGCCTTCGTATGGGGACCAATGAGACACAATGGACGGCTGGACGGATGATCTCTCTGTCCATGTCTATCCGTCTGTCTGTCTGTCTCTTTAGGTGGGGTCCGTGGGCCCTTTCCTGCATGTGTCGCTGCCATCAGTGCTCCCCCCCTCCCAGACCATCATCGTCACCCTCCCTGCACAGGCCATCAGGACCATTGCCGACGGCACCCCGCTGCTGCAGTCTGACATCGTGTGGCGCTTCAGCACTGAGGCAGCCGATGGGGGCGGCACAGCATGGGATGGTGTCATCGACAGGGTGCCCCTACATCGCGCCAGAGACGTGGCGACCGACACACACATGGTTGGATCATTCGGATGCGCAAGTGTATGTGACCATCCGGTATTGTCCAAGGGTCTGTCTCTGTCGACTTGACTGATTGCAGCGGTTGGTGTTTGACCGGGCGGTCTATCTGGAGGTGGCCCACAATTCCCCCCACATGTTGGCACTGACCCCCATCGAGAGGGATTCCCTGGTCCCCCAGAAGCAGAGAGGTTCCGTCGATGCTGCCGCCCTACCCACCATCCAAATCCCTCTCAACGACACACAGCAGGCAGGCAGCCAGCATGCCTTACCACCCCATCCCACATACCGATCTGCCCTTTTCTCAGGTCATGATATCCGGCTCAGTGTTGGTGGTGACACCTCGGCTGCCGCTATTCCACGCCACCACTTATAGCGCCACCATCAGCAGCACCGCACTGCTGGACAGCCGAGGGGCGGCGTGGGAGGGTATCGACGGCACCGCCCGTCAGTGGCGCTTCACGACAAGGAATGTCATCCGTCGGCTCAGTGATGTCACGCCTCCCACACTGCGTGTGACCTCCATACGCCCGGCTGTGAGCAAAACACACACACACAGAGACTGTGCCTTAACCTACGTCTCTCTGTCATGTGTATGTGTGTAATGTCAGCCCGGCAGCCGCCATCTGCCGCTGTCGACATCGCAATTTGTGATGCGGTTCACCGAGCCGGTGCTGCCGGGGAGTGCGGCAAAGTCGGCAGCCGTCAGCTTCAGACCAGCAGACACATCAAAGGACACCATCCACGTCTACACCGACGACCCAATGCACGTAAGGACCTATGTGCCGACCGTTGTTGCGATGGATGATGTGTGGACGGTGGCTTGTCACGGTGGGTGGTTTGTCTGATTGCTGTCAGGTGCGGATTGACGGCAGCAGTGTGCAGGTGTTGCTTCCCCAAAGGCTGGAGCCCTCCACTGTCTACACGGCCTACTTCAGCAAGACAGCCTTCACCGACCTCGCCGGCAACCAGGCGCAATACGGTCAGCCACTCTCTCTCTCTGTGTGCGTGTGTGACCGCATCCCTGCCCTCACGCCCATATCGATGTCTGCAGACTCCCGTTGTGTGGTGGAGGTGACCGACACCGACATAACGGCCGTCGCCCTCAAGACCCTCCCCAACTCCAGCCCCACCCACTGCCGCGCACAGTGCTACCTCACACCCGCATGTGGTGGCTTCATTCTCATCCAGGGGGACCCACTGAACAAATGTTCCCTCAAGGCCGGCCCCGTCATCGACACACACATCAAACCGGGGACAGCCACGTACTACGGGGGCTACATGAGGCAGTGCTGGGAGGTACATGGCTTCCCGGAGCCCACTACGGCCGCTCCTGGGGATGAGGAGCGCAGGCGGCTGCAGGCCATCGATGAGACAGGTATGGTATATTGGTGTGTGGGGGTGTGGGGGATGAGAAGGCGATCGAGACGGTGATGTGTTGGTTGTGTGCTCGTCAGTGCCCCACCATGGGTCGTTCTGGCGCTTTGAAACCAAGCCGCTCGCCGATTCCCCATCCACCGAACCCATTGGCAGCCGCACGGGGCCCTTTGCTGCGTCTGTGACATTCGGCCGTTTTGCTCTGTATGATAGGGACTTTTCTGCTGCTGAATTGCCGCCTCCCGGTAAAGTCGCCTGCCAGCCGCTTGTCTTTCTGTGTGTGGGAATGTATGGCGCTGCTGCCTCTGCATTCTGCATTCTGCATTCATGCAGCGTCGGTCGCTTCATACCGGAACGGAAGCTTCGCCGTGACGCTGGACCTCTGCATTGACGAAACTTGCGGCGAGACGCAGCAGCTGACCCAGCCCTTCGTGTACCCAACCGACTCCCCAGAGTTCTACGTCAAAGCAACGACTGACGTACGTGTGTAGGGGTCGACGAGACGGCCTCCTGTCGGTGTGGAAGCTCTCTGTCTCTGTTGTGTTGCAGGTGCCGGGTGTGTACCCAGTGTTTCGTGCGTGTTATGCGCTGCCGATTCCCCCCTCCTCACCGCTAGAAGAGCTCCTCGAGCGGCGCATCACGCTGCTGCAACTGGCGTGCGGCATCCCCGCCGACCCTCAGTCGAGTCCCTTCGGCTTCGTCCAGGAGTCCTTCATCGGCCAAGCGTACGCCAGCTTCTTCACCATCGACATCAGTGAGGTGTCGCCCTCATCGCAGCAGCTGCTCTATCTAGCGTGCGATGTCGACCTCTGTCTCGATCCAAGGTGCCTGGACGACCCTGTCGATACCTGCCCCACTGGACAAAGGTACGTACGATGGGCAATGCACCCATTGGAAGTTTGATATATCGATGGACGTGTGTTGGTTGTGTAGGCGTCTGCAGGCGTCCGGCGGCGCGAGCGCCTCGGTGCTCACTTCCAAGGGTCTGCAGATGGGGCCCATTCTGCAGCAGGGCCAGCAGGCCCGGAAGGTCTACCCCGACGGGACCATCTATGACAATATCAACGACCAGGTCATCGTCAAGGGCAGCTCATGGCGAGACGACACCGACGAGACACGGGCGAACCATCTCCTTCTCTATGTTGGCGTGAGCCTGGGGGCTGCTGCGGTCTTGCTCTTGATTGCCAGCATTGTTTACTTCAAGCGGCGTCGGAAAAGGGGGGCAGCACCGCTATTCGCGGCGAGCAAAGATGTGTCTTCTCGTGACGGCCAATTTGACATCGATATACCCTCGTCGGCCACCAAGCCGGCCGACCTATCGCCCTCGCGGCCCGCAGCGAGGATAGTGGGACAGTCTACACGTTTCTCTGACCATGGCTTAGATAACGAGGCAGAGGACAGCAGCCCCGCGTCTGGATCTTCGCATGTCCCTGATGACGCCCCAGTTGAGGAGAGGAGGGGCTCTCATCTGTCAGCACTGAGCCACCTGCGGATTCTTGTGGGTGCGTCTCAGCGACACATGTCTCTCGGTGACAATCGCGACGATGGCGATGACGATGACGAGTCAACGCCCCTCGGGTCAAGTGACGGTAGAGAGGCGCTGCCTGCTGGTCTGAAGCGCAGGTCGTTGTCGAAGCATGGCGACGAAGAGAGTAGCCCTTACGCGTCTTCAGAGAAAGAAGATGTACATGTGGGCGAGGAGACGAGACATCAAGGCGTTGACCAGGGGTTTCGGTCGAGCATCGTGAGTGCGACAGGTGTGCCGGCTGTCAATCTGGATGACTTCAGCTAGCTAGTGACGTACGTACGTACGTGTAGAGTAGTGTTTGGGACGGAGTGTGTGACGCGTCATATGCGAACTGTGTCTGTCCATATATGGGACAAACTGGCTGGTGGTTGAGGCCGTGTGACGCTTTGTAATGATTATGATCTGATTGCAACAGTCAGTTGACGTGTACACATGCGGTCTGCGGTACTGTGCACACACACACACACGACGAGTCCACGTGAAAAGCAGCATAAACAACCACCGGATATAAAACGCAGACAGCGATTCGTGAACCTGCTGGACGACACGAGTAGATGGATGGATGGAGAGTGGATGCAATGGCCAGCTTACCTTCACTTCTCCTTTGCAATTGCTGGGAATCGACGAGAGACGGCCACACAACTGATACGTACACAGGATCCCCAGCCCCAGAACTATAAGCCATAACCACAATGTGTGGTCCTGCTGAGACGAGAGCTTGTAGTACAGGGACTCAGCGTTCTCGGCGGCCCCATGGCCGTACCCGCTCCCACATCTCCTGCAGCCAGCCCCAGAGCCAGGACAGCCAGGCCTTCCAGCCGGTGTGTGCGGGGCAAGTGGCTGGAGGGTCGTCGGCGAGGCTGTCCACAGGGGGCTCGATGGGTGGCTGAGGGATGGGCTGCGGGGTCGGCGCCCAGTACCCGGGGTAATAGTGCGGGTTGACCCGCCTCAGCCTGACACGATGGGCGAGAGACATCAGTAGATTCAGATTGACAAGCTGATTCCTACGCGTCGTCGACAAGGAAAACATATAGTGCGTACCATGCGTGGTTGAGAATGTCGTCGTAGGTGATGGTGGCGGTGTTCCGTGTCAGCAGCTCGTAGAAGGCGTTGGCATGGCTGCTTCGGGTCGGGCCCTAGATGACATACAAGCACGGCAGAAAGGACACACAATATCATAGTCCGTCCATCTGTGTGTCTTGTTCCCTCGCCGCCAAGGTAACCTTCTTGGGGCTGGTTTTGACGCCATACAGCATCTCCCCTACCATATCCCTACAGAGACAACAGCATAAGACACAAGTATCTCAATTCCTCTGTATTGAATGTCTCGCTGGCTCACCCCAGCCGCTTAATATCAAAGGTCAGCCGCTCGCGTGCCTCCCGGGAGCGCAGCTCCTCCTCCCCCTGGCAGCACAAGACACAACAGGTGTGGCCCGGCCAAACATCGAAGCTGAGCCTTCTTAGTCATCACCTGGAACACCCTCGATAACCCAAAATCAATGAGCTTCATCGTTGGCAGCTCTCCCTCGCCCTTGCCCTCAATCAGAAAGTTCCCCAGCTTAATATCGCTGAGCGAAGCAAGAGAAAGAACAGACGCGTGGAATGGTGGCTTGCATTACTTTGTCGCCATCTCACCCGCCGTGAGACACAAACGCTCGATGGAAGAGGTCCCTCAAGGAGATGATCACCGGAGCGATCATCTCCTTCATGGCCTCCTCCTCCAGCATCTCTGACGGCCTCCCCTTTTCGAGGTTGCGCCTCGTGTAGGCCGCCGCGTCCTCCTCATAGAGGTCCGTCTTGAGGAAGACGGCCTCCCTCACCCCCTCCCTGACCTCTGCCACCTGAAGGGAGAAAGAGACAGAGACGCAGAGGATGCTGGAGAAAGCATTGTCCAGTGACTGGCTTACCAGGTTGGCTTTGGCGATGCTCTTGCTCTCCAAAAACATGACCCTCTGCATGGCCGCCGTCTCCCTCGGCGCCAACCCCCCGGCGGCATCTCCTTCAGGACCTTCTCGGCTCCTGTGCCGGCGCTGAGCCGCTCTTGGGCCTGGTATACCCTTGCCCCGCTGTAGGTACCCAGGCCGAAGGGCAACATTTGATGGCCGTCGAGGCGGCGGGTGGGAGGCAGGTAGCCGCCGTGGCCAACATATTTGGTATCCCCGTCCAGGAAATGCAGAGGGTAGGGGTTCCCATCAGGGAGACCCCCCCTTGCGAAGACGCGGGGGATGTCCGCCAAGCCCGGACGGAAGCGGGGGCTGCGCGGAGGGAGGGGCGCGACGTGCCTACACGAGTGCATTGCTGCTTTTGCTGCTGCTGTTGCTGCTGCTGCTGTTGCTGTTGTTGTTGCTGTTGCTGTTGCTGCTGTGCTCTGTGAGACTGCACCACAGACACACAAGAATGGGCCCGCAGTGAGAGAACCCATCCTCTCTCTGTGGGTGTATGTCTCACCCCCAGAGCTGCCCTTTCTCTTGCGTGTGGTGTCCACGGGCGCGGCTCCGTCGACAGAGCGGTTGAGTGGCGAGGCATCGACGGTCGTGTCGGTCCTCTGCCGCCCCATATTATCGTGGGGCCCAATGTAATACAAAAAGGGTCGCCTCAACACGTACCCTTCTGCAGTATGATGTGGCGCATTTTTGCATAGTTCGTAGGGTCCTGCTCCCCGTCGATGCCATACACCATGCCAACCTGCAGACAAAGGGTGGACAGGATAGGTGTTGGATAGGTGTATCCATTTGGCGTTTTGCCGTACGTGCTGGGCGTCGTTGTACAGGTCCTTTGTCACACCTTTGTCGCGCATCAACACGTAAGCACGGGGATGGCTGCCGGGGCTGCAGCCATCCGTAGCACAAGAACACGTGCTGCAATCGACGGATACATATTGTAGTTCCATACCTGCCGCGATGGCCAGGCCGTTCGGTTCGGCGCGCAGGCTCGTCAGGCAGTGCGTCGCCATGAAGTCCACGCTGGACAGCTCAACCTGCGCGACCAAATCAATGCACAGAGTGTTAAGTTGGCCGTGATGTGTTTTGTCTTACCACAGTGTTGATCTGCTTCCAAATATCGAATCTCGCCACAACAAATCGCCATGCGATCTGCACAGACTGAAGCAAGGAACGGCCGTGAGGAGCACGGTGCATGCGCAGTGGTCTGTGCTCACATTGGGCAGCGCCGCACGGTCGCCTGTGAATATGACGATCTTGCCCTCCAGGTATAGCAGCATGCAGCGACCATTCCACTTGAAGCATGTCAACAAGGATATACACGAAGGAAGGAGAGTCGGCCATCACTGCTGATTGATTGGGATCGGTACTTGGTTTGGAGCTTGCTGAACTAAAACGACACACACAGATAGCAACAGGCGGTGTCAATCACCTTTCGCGTGATGGCGAGCAGTTTTCCCTTACCTTGGTGGCCAACTCGTCCTTTTCTGTGATGAGGCCCCGGTTGGCCCGCTCCGCCTGCTCACAACGACGCTGCAACGAAGAACAAGAATCGGTTTTAGTCCGTCCCGCACCGAAAATCTCGCCGTCTCGAAATCTCGCCCGCATCGCAAGCTGCGTGTTGCGTGTCCTGTTGCATGTTATGGTGGTGTTTTCATGCTGGACACAGGGACTTGGCAGTTAGGCCGCTTAGGGTGCTCCTAAAACCGCTGCTGCTCGCAAGACAGGCGTTTCCAAAATGCTGAAGGCTCTCCGGTTTGCGCCCTCGGTAAGATGAAAGAAGCATGAAGAATGGCGATTCACACACGGTTTGCTGTGTTGACTGACGGTCAGCGGTTTGGTCGGTGCTTCTCCACGTTGGTCGTCGCTGAGCACACGCAAAAGGGGCTGCACCCGGCGACACTGAGCGCCATCAATGCAGCCAAGAAGCTGCAAGATGACGTGCGTGAGGGAAATTAGAGACAGGGGAGGGAAAAAGAGAAGGCAAGATGGGTGGATGGGCTTCTGTCTTCAGATATGCGTGTTGGTGGCCGGCAGTGGCGCCACAGAAGCTGCCCAGGAAGCGGCCAAGCTGCAAGGTAGGCCGATATGATGTGCTGGCTGTTGGGTGTGGTCACTCGTCCATCTGTCTGGTGTGTGTGCAGGTGTGAGCAAGGTGTTGCACGTGGATGCACCTGCTTACCAGTACCCAGTGGCGGACCAGATGGCCAATCTTCTTGTAGCCATGCAGCAGAAGAGTGAGATGGATGGACACAAGAATCGCCTGGTTCCTGCACGCCCTTACTTATTCATATACCAGGTTCGTTCGCGTCGATTATGGGTCCCGTGTCATCGCTGCTCAAGGACGTCTTCCCGCGTTTGGCCGGGGCACTCGACGTGCAGCCCCTCACCGATGTCATGGACATCAAGGCAAACCAGCAAACATTTGCCGTACCCACAGTTCACTCTGTCTGTCTGGCTGTCTGTCTGCGTGTCGATCAGTCGTCTGACACGTTCGTGCGGCCGACATATGCCGGCAACGCCATTGCCACGGTGCGTTCGAAGGACCCCGTGAAGGTCTTCACAGTGCGGCCGACTTCATTCCCAACTGATGGCCTGGAGGGCGGCTCTGCGCCGGTGGAGCCCGTGACGCCCCCAGAAGGACAACCAATGGTGGTGCGCAGCATATACATATGAGGCAAACAAGGCCTGCAGGATGACAGACAGAGGGAGCACCGTGCGAACATCTGTGTGCGTGTACAGGAGTTCGTCAAGGAAGAGCATGCGCATGACGACAAGCCCCAGCTGGCCACGGCAAAGACGGTAAGATGAATGAGCCGAAACGAACACGCGGGTGACTGACTGCCTGCGTGCCTCCCTTTGCTGATGGATGGACAGGTGGTGAGCGGCGGCCGGGGTTTGAGGTCCAAGGAGGGCTTCGACACCGTCCTGGATCCCCTCTGCCAGAAACTCAACGCCGCCAGTGAGTTACCACACATACACACATACGACACGGAAATGATTATCAATAATGTCCCTGCTGTGGACCCGCCATATGTGTGCCACCCTCGATCCATTCATCAGTGGGTGCGTCCAGGGCAGCCGTGGACGCCGGCTTTGTGCCGAACGACATGCAGGTATGCAACCAAACCGACAGTGAGAAAGTCCACTGGTGAGTGCCGTAGGTATTCATTTGTTTATTTGTGTGGTCATGCAGGTTGGTCAGACTGGCAAGGTGGTGGCGCCCGACCTCTACCTGGCGGTGGGCATATCGGGGGCCATCCAGCACCTCGCTGGTACGACACAAATAACACCACCATATACGACGGAATGCATTAGTAATGAACGCATTATTGAGTCGTTCGCTGGTGTGCAGGCATGAAGGACTCCAAGACCATCGTCGCCATCAACAAGGACGGCGAAGCGCCAATCTTTCAGGTAGGTGCTTATTCGACTCAGCGTTGCCGTCCGTCTGTTGTCTCTTTCACGCGCCTGCACGCCTCCACGTGTGTGTGTGATTGGCTGATTGACAGGTGGCTGACTATGGGCTGGTTGCCGATCTGTTTGAGGCCGTCCCCGAGATGACCGACAAAGTGGCGCAGTAGACAGACAGACAGACAGACAGACAACAGACAGACAGATGGGCGAGGCCAAGTCTCGACCCGGCAGTGGTGGTATCTTTCTAGTAGCTGCATGCGCTCACTCTCTCACTCACTGAGTGTGTGCACACGCACACACGCATGTCTGTCTATATTGGTTGGTGTACCATAGTGTACATGTGCCTGCGTGAGGACCGGCCGTATTCATCATCATACAAATTCGTGGTGCTTGTGGGACCCGCTGATGAGAGTGATCGTTGGCCACGACACACATTTCCCGCACACAACGGACCCGTGGCACAGTCAAAGAAGACATCCTCGACTATATCATTGATCGCCTCACAAGGCCCGATCAGAAAGAGGTTCCGGGATATCGCGGCTTGCGTGTCAGAAAGAAGAAAGCCACTTAATCAGGCACACATGTATGTATGTATGTATGTAGCAGCGGGGAGAGGGATGTTCGGACGAATGAAGGGCACATGCCACACGGGTGTTCAGGGTGTGTAGATGGTGGATGGTACTTACTGGGAGAGAGAGAGTGGGCAGAGTGAGCCGAGGGACTGACTGAGTGGGGGAGCACAGCACGGGTGGCTGGCTGGCATCGCGCATGCCAGGGGGGCTGTGACACTGGCACGTTGTTTTAATGATGCGGGGGCGATGCCCCCGATGTTGACCAGATGGTGCCTTAGCATGGATGTGCACCATGGATGTGTCGTGGCTCGATCGCACATGCTGAATTGGCAGTGGCATGTGCGATGGATGGGTGAGACATACATGGGGACCAGCCCGTCCGCCTTTGTTTAGTGGATGGCGTGTGTCTTTCTGCTTGTCTCGTGTCCAGGAAGGAAGTGTAGTTTGTGGTAAGGGCTGGCTGGCCATCTCGTGTGTATGTCGATTCATGTGTACAGGCAGACCATTGCGGACCCCTCTCTGTCTGCCCGTCGTGATGAATGCAACGCATGTATGCTTGTCTGCACGCGCCTGCGTGGGAGACATCGGATTTGAGCAAGTGTTTGTCGGTCAGGTAATATTACACCAGCGTGTCTGTCTGCGCCCCTCAAATGTACTCAGTCGGTCCTTCATGAATCAATCGACCACTCACCCCAGTGCGATACACATGTTGAAGTTGCTGTGTGCCGAACACATACCGTCCGTCGGCCGAGTTTGGCGGCATGATCGCCCTTGCCGCTCTAACCCAGAAAACCCGAATCCAAGAAACCTTTTTATGTTCCGCAGCCTCGTCCGCATGGTGGATCAGGAGGTTGTGAGAAAGAAGCTGGTAGATACGCTCAAGCCAGCTCTTCTGGAGGTCAATGACGTCAGGTTGGATCACATCACCTGCACAAAGGGAACACAGACGAGCACAAGGTGGATGAGGTGTGTTGTCAGCGGTGGCTGTGGAGCAAGCTACGATGCGTTGATAGTCTCGGACGCCTGTACGCCTCACTCACATGACACATGCGGGGAGGGTCTGTGGATCTGAGCAGTTGATCTCTTGTGTGTGGTCTGTGCAGTTGAGGGCAAGCGGCTGCTCGACAGACAGAGGTTATTTGAGAACACACAAAATGTGGGTCATGGGTCGTGTCGAATCTTCTCGTTCCACAATGCTGCAGATTGGTCAACGATGCGCTCAAAGAGGAGCTCAAGGACATTCACGCCTTCACCATGAAGTGCGTCACGCCGGCAGAATGGGAGAAGCGGAAGCCTAGCTGAATGAATCATGGCTCTGTCATTTTGCAAGGGCTGCGGGCACGATTTTGTTGCCGAGATGTGCAGTGTTCTAGACAATGTATGTGTAGCGGTGATCGATAGGCAGTAAGTACCAATCGACTGACTCTCGCATGATCTCGTGCATCTTGAAGTTCCTGTCTGTCCTTGGCGGTCTCCGACACGAAGGTCTTGCCACGCCGGTACGGCGCCAGCAGGTGCACAGCGGACGGCTGATGCTGCTCTGCTGGCGACGTGGATACGCCGTCAGGGCGTAGAGGCAGCATCTGCGGCGAAGGCCGAGGGACACAAGGACGGCACAGACGGGGGCCATGGCTCGCTTCGTTGCCGGCTAGAGCCGCCTTTTCTCTCTTGGCCTGCGAAGTCATATGCGGGGTTGCTGGTTATCAGCCTCGAGCTCAAACCAGACGTGCTCCGGCCGCCTCGTCTCCTCGCCCTCATACAATGTCCATCACCTACATTCATGCATACAACAGGGGCACTGCGACGCCGCCAGGAGCTGAACGTGCCATGATTTATGTACCTCGTTCGACACAGCTGCTGTGAGTGGTTTGCCCTTTCGCCCGCCCAGCTGACTGTCCAGCAGCGGACACTTGACGAATCCAACCGATCTCCCCAGCTGCAACAAAACGTGACAGACACGACACACCACACATGAGCACTTGGTGGTTCAATATTTGGTGTCTGTCCGTGGACCTCTGTCTTTGCACTTGCTGGAAATTGAACGCGCCTGTCGCGTTGCACGCCTAGGGTCCCTCCCCTCGTGCTTACTCTGTCAGTGTATGAGTCCCCACACACAACGAGACTGCATACCTGCACACACGACACAACACAACACAACACACAAATGGCCGCAGTTGGGCACATCCATCCGTCCGTCCATCCATCAATCCATTTGTGCCTTTTCTGTGCGCACCGTGTGACGTCGCTGGGGTTGTCCTGTGTCATGGCAGCACTCCTGGCGGCACTGATGGGCATGCACGGGAAATTCCGGTCTTCGTTTCGGGCAGCACCGTTGTTGTAGGACGTGCCGACGTTCTCCAGACACTGCCGACATCCGGCGCGACACGCACAGACGATGTTGCCTCCACGTGGGTACCAAGAGGATGGATGCGCCAACACAACGCACCTCGTAGCAGAAGAAGTGATTGCAGATGAGGCGGGTGAGGTCGTCTTGGTGGCCGGTGGGTCCAGGCCGGTGGGACGGTGTAGACCGGGATGGTGACGAGATCCGGCGCTACAGAGATCCGGCGCTCAGCGGAGCAGACTGCAAGTCGGCCACTGCAGGTGTTTTCTTGTCAGTCAAGCGGCGCTTGTCTGCTGCCCGTCTGATGACGTGGTTACCTGCAACACTACACATCCATCGGTAATGGGCTGGCTTGGCGTCTGCCTCTCTGACTCACTCACCCACTGACACTCGACACTCGGACAAATGCTGAGTTCCTGCAACACACATCCAGACACACTGGAGAGGACAGCGATGAGTCATTTACGCACTCCCACAAACTACCCTTCGGGTTTCAGGCTCCAGGGTTTGAAACCCTTACCCTGTAACCCTAGCAGAAACTTGTCCACTCTGAGGTACGTTTGCGCCTGTCTATTCCTTCATGCAGATCTTCAGCACTTGCTGCATATCGGAGGGACGGCATTGAATGAATGAGTGAATGATTCATCACTGTGGTCTCTGCTGGGCTCGTGTGCGTGCCGCCACAGGTGCTCAGCATTTGACCCGAACGATTGGCGACTCTCCCCACCCGAACGAACGCCGCTATTCAGCCGTGGGAAGGGCCATGTTCAAGCTGGGCTGCCGGAGGGCACCGCAACTGTTTGGTGCAGAGTGCCCCAGCTCTGCCTTGACGAAGGTGAGGAAACTGAACGGGTTTAGCCCTCCGATGCGCTGCAGCATCACTGTCACGTTGTTTTGTGTGTCCGTCAGATGTATCGTCCCCGACTGTCCCCCCTCATTCTCCAAACAGCACACCCCCTCGGCCACACTTTGCCACTCACCCGCCACTGTCGCCCACCGACGAGCCGCCATTTCCCCGCAGCTGCCTTCTTCACCACCGTCCGGGGCAGTGCTGAGCAGCGGACGACTGGACAACACAACTCCGGCAGCAAGGCGGCCGATGATGAGATTCTGTTCACTCCCCTCGACCCGGGTACTGAGCCGTTGGACCATGAGCCGTCGCTGCCCGACGTGACTGAAGCGGATCTTGAAGGCATTTCCAAGGGCATCTATGGCGTCGAGTACCTGTCGGAGGCGCCGTCCAGCCAGCAGCTCAGCTACCCACCAGAGGGCATCGTCTCTGGCTCTTGCCGGCGAATGTTCATCAACCTCGTGTGTGTTCGACGGCCTTTTGAGGGGGAGGCCTCACCCCCGCCCCCCATCAACGTGGT